AATGAAAGAAAATTCAAGATATGACTTTAAAACAAACAACAACAAATCTTGCTGTCGACACCTTGTGTGTCAGAATAGAACGATTCCATAGAGTATTTATGAATTATTTTTCAAAATAATTCTCCAAGTCTTTCTTGCAAGAAACTAAAACTGCTCATCTTTTATTTACCAGCCAAGTGCTTAATCATGCACCCCACCATGGACCATGAATTTAGTGACACTCAAAAATGGTTCCAATGTACTCTACTCATGCCACTGTTCATATACTCAAGACTAGGGTCAACCTGTATCAAAAGTCATCTATCGACAGAGTGGAGGGGCAGCACCTACCCACAGGAAGCTCTCTAGTAGAGTGGAGGCAAAGGTAGTGGTGCTGCAGGGATCATCCCAGAAGTTGATCAAGAAGGAATGCAATGAAGATCACACAAGATAGAATCTGTTCTCTGTACTCAAGCCTAAGTTCTGCCACTTACAAAAAAGCAAGATTTTATATTATATAAACATGTGCGTAAAGTTTCCTTTTCTACAAAAAGAAACAAATACCAGAGATAATCTCACACAGATTAAATGGGTTACACTATACTCACTCCTCACATTCACTGACAAATTTAGAGCCCAAAGACCAAGATGCTATGCAAAATATGGAGGCTGATCACATGAAATCACAAATGGAAAATGATATCATTGCATAACTGACAGTATACAACATTATATAACTGCCAAGTCACTGAGAACCATATTGACATGATTCAACTTGGCCCAGCCAAGGTGACACATAACAAGAGCAGCATTTGTTTTTGCCTTGCACTCTAGTGTCCATGACTGTCAATTTTTACAAAAAATAGGCAGGCTGGATTTTTTCCTATTATCATGAATATGAAAAGTTGGATCACAAGAGTCAATAAATGAGAAGTGAATATGAAAGTAGAAGTATCTGATACAACATAAATGCTCAGTGTTAGTTTGCTTTAAACAAACAGCAGCTTTGTGTCTTCATTTTTAAAATATTTCTAGCACCTCTAGTGATTGATTAGCATCACGGTTGAAAAACAGATCCTTGCTTCGGAAAAAAAATGCACATAAATATGGCTTTGCAAGTAAAGGAATTTCAAAACACTCCTTAAGCACCTATATACCTCGGGTTATCAATGTCTAAAATATTGAAACCAATGTTTGTACAATTCAAAAGATAGTGCTTACAATTTGCTATATGTTAAGCACAATCCTAAGAAATATGATGAATTTTCACTTTTTGCAACAACTCTTTGAAGTAAATGATAGCATTATAAAGTGAGAAAACTAAGCGCTAGAAAGGGTTAAATTATGCTACACAAGAAAATATCAAAGCAAAAAAGTTCTCTAAAGGATAATGAACAAAAATTAAAACAACTCACAGCAAACCCTATGTAGGGTTTCTGAGACTATCAAATCTCTATGAGACCAGTCTTTTCTTTCTCCCACAGCATGGCTGGTGAGTTTGAACAACCGATCTTGTGAGCAGCAGCCAATGCTTATCATTCCACAGTGACAAATTATAATGAGTGGTTTTTGAAATAAAATAGCTCAGCCCATTATTAAAGTACTGTCTTATTTATGTATGTCAGTCACTCAATGAAGGTCTAAACTCTAAACACATGAAAAGATAAAAAGGGGTTAAAAGAGGGGTGGGAGGGAGAGAGTAGGTAAAAATAAATAGCCCTAAATAACTAAATACCACTATCTAGCCCCTTGCTGGAAGAGCCATGGTGGAATAGTGTTTACACCTTGGGCTGCTAACCTCAAGGTCAAAAGTTATCAACAATTCCATAAGAAAAATAAGCCTTTCTATTTCCTTAAAGAGTTAGTCATGGAACCCCAAGGGTACTTCTACCTTGTCCTATAGCATTGTTAAGAGTCAGATTTGACTCATGGCAGCGAGTTTGAATTTTGAGCCCCTTGACCACATTAAGGAAGAGGAGAGTGGTGGCTAACATGAATGGGCCCAGCAGAGCCACACTGGTCACTGTGGGAAAATGTTCATTTTTGTTTCTTTGAAAATAACTATATCTATTATGCTCTGGACAGAGTGGTTGCTATACTGCCATGCAGTGTCATCTGTACTGAAACCACCCAAATCTGCCAGTAGCTGAGATGAAATCAACTCAGACCTATCTGGGGAGGAGCCTGGCAGTTTCCTTCGCCACTTCCCTCCAACACAACTGGACACAAGACTTTCTCCCAGAAACCATCCCAGCAAGCAGATCACACAAAAATGTTGCCTTTCCAGCACAGACTTAAAAAATTAATATGTTAAAAATCATAAAACATAGTCTCATAAATTTATGACATCATTAATATGGAAACACAGCACAAATATACACCTGACTATACAAAGGAAGCTAAATTATGATGCAATCAATGCTTTCCTATAAAAACTAAATTAACAAAACGAGTCTATTAGGATAGACATCTGGTGTATCGTAGCAAGAAATGCTAATGATACTGTCTGCAACCCAGTAATCAGTTTTTCTCTGTTAACAGCTCCCTCATTACACTGTATTAGATCTGTGTGCCTGCAGAATTTATGAGCATCCCACACATTGAGAGCTGTGCCAACTGGATCTGATTCAGATACAGCTACAGCGACTTTGGCAGCACGAAGCCCCTTTAAAGCACAATCAATAAAGTTAGCTTTCTGCAGCACCACCTTGACTGAAATACTCATCATTTCACTAAAGCATCTTTACAAAGCAACATATGATGACATCGGAGTGCTCCATCAGTCATGTATTTTTAAATCTCTAGTGCACAAATATTTTTACTGGTAAAACAATATACACTGGTCACCATCAATGCAAATACCAAAAGTTTACTCAAAACCAATGTAATTATTAGAAAATGTTGAAATCTATCCAGCAATTCCTGGTGAGTGGGTACTCTAAACCACCTGACAATGACATCTACACTTATTAGAGAGTAAAGCAGGAAAGCACCAGCTCCAAAATGAATGTCATATTTTCGATGTAAATAGAAACAAAATGGCAATGGTCAATGGCTGAACTTTTAGAAGGAGGTAGCCCTATTTGAATCAGAACTCTGTTAATCTGTCAATCTTCCTCCTGAGATTCCAACTAGGCTTTTATTGCCTGTACTGGCTTTTATTATGTTCCATTGTGAATAGCTATTTCAAGAATATAAAGGCTTCCATAATGTGAACCCTTTTCCTGGTTTAATCAATGGTAAATTACACTGGCAACTATCCAAATATAATGTTTTGCTGCAACCATTTTTCCTGATTTTGTTACACAATTATTAATATCCCAGTTGCATGGTCATAGTCCTCTTCATCTAATACCTTGGCCATATCTCCTACCTGGAGTATTCCCGGTCTTTCCCCATAGCTCCACGATACTTGTTCTAAGTATAGGAATCTGCTTGTCTGGAAGAAGGGAAGAAAATAAAACCCTACCAGGCTTCCTACCATCTAGCACATAAAAGTTGTGCTTGGCCTGCCTTGGAGTTGCTCTGTGAGCTAGTCCCATTTATTTCCCCACTTTTCCCCTCCCCAGATGCACTAACCTGTGCTGTTCACAAACATTTTGCAGGCTCTCGTCTTAACAACTCTCAGACCCCACAGGCTCAGGGTCTAGGCTGCTCATATGGACAGGTAGAAACATATACCTGGAAGTCTCTATCTATATCTCTCATCGATACGTCAAATGCACCAACTCCTCAAAACCCACCTATTTGACACTGCAATTTAATTACCCATTATATGCTGATAGTATCTTCCACTGTGGTGATAGTTATGACTATGATCTTATATTATTTTTAAATTGTTTTTTGAGCATATGTCTGAAACCAAGACAGGTCTGAATCTTTTTGTGACGCAGGGATGCATGAGTACCTCCACTTTCAGCCTCTCAGGCTTCCCATAAGCAAGCTGCTGCTATCCCAGTTGTAACATATCTCCAGCCTGATGGGCACCTATATAACAGCATGAAACTAAAGAAAGGGGCCTCACTTCACTGATCCTACCATCAAGGCCAGCCATGTGTGTATAATATAATTGTATCAAATCCACATTACCTCCCAAAAAATCTATCTTGATTTCTGCATGCCTTCCATTACTGAAAACAGATGGTATCAACAACAACAAAAAAGTCAAAGCAGGCAGGAATATGACTAGGAAATGGTTAACTTCTAAGGATTAATATATTTTTTCATTAAGGACAAGGCTGGGTACCTAGCAGTCATCAGAACAACATGCACTTGTTGTTGTTTTTTAATTTTACCATTAGATCCTCCTGAAGAGCGGGGAAGACAAGTGTAAACACAGGTTTCATAAAAGGTGAGGTACACTACATACAAACTGCCTGTATGTTCATCAGCACCCAGCCCTTGGGTTCTAAAGAGAAAAGCTACAGCGTTTCATCCTGCTGTGTCCCACACAGCCCTCCTCCCACGTGACCACCAGGCAAGAGGAATGAACAGGGTAATGCTGTGAGAGAAGTGTGACTACACCCCAACTTGAAGTGTTTATCCTACATCTAGCTTTACAAAAGAGCTGCACACTACTTCTGAGCAATACTCTACAGAAAGAATGTCACCTGAGAGGGCGACAACTAAAAGCACTTAGATGCATGGGTCATGAGTCCCAATGAGCTAGGGAAATGCACATGCCACACATGGCCTCAAACTTACCCCCTTTTTCCCTCATTTCAGTTGCAAACATCCATACTCGCTGCTGATTGCCAGCTCCTGCTCCTTGCAGCAGCCCAGCATGCTCTCTGCTGGTGCCAAAATACCCTACCACCAACCCCACTAACTTCTGGAACTGTCCTAGAGGGGTAAGGTAAGTCCCGTATTTTGCTTCCTCTGTGCATGTACTTGTTACTCCTTTAAAAACACATACAATACAGCACATTTTTAAGGGGCTCTGGGGAGGGAGGTACTATTCCTATTTTATACCCTATGGGATATAAAATATTTATAGCTTTTAAAAACGGGATTCTCCTTACCCCTACAGGCCCTCTCCCGGCTTCAGAAAGATGCTGTGGTGGCTGTGATGCCACCGGCAGAGAGCATGCTGGGGGGTCACACAAAGCAGGAGTTGGAGATCTGCAACAGGCCTGGGAGTTGTGGACCTAAAAAAGAAAAAAGTTTTAAGTTAACGTGCCCAATGTCCCCTCATACCCTGGTTATTAGGGGCACGCAGCACACAAGTAGGTATCTGCAAAACTCCTGTACAGATGGTCTCTGAAATGTCAGGTAACTGATTTGTTCTACAACTAAAGTTAGCCTTTCCAAATCAATCAAAGCATTTATGTCTTTATTTCAGTGTGAACAAGGATGTGGCCCTTCTTAGGGCCACACTTTAATTTGGGTGCTGGCATAAAGCAGTATGGTGTGTGCCCCTCGAAATAACCAAGTTAAGACGTGACACAATGCCAAAGCACAACAACAGTGGCATGCGTTGTTTATAAGTAACAAAAATTCAATGTCAGATAAACACAGCTGTAAAATGAACTGCAGGTGGACAAACTGAGCTTTCAGAAGAGTTTCTAATGAGAGGTGATGGAGAAGTAAGATAGGTATACACTAAGTACGGTAAATATTCCAGGCATGAGGGTGGCCACAGACAGCTGCCACAGGAAGCTTGTTACAAACCCTATGGCAATTCTGTAAAGTTGAAAGTGGAGTAAACAGACAAAGCTTAACACCAGACAACAAAAGATACCAATCAGATGAGTTCTCATTTTCTCCTGATGCCTTACAAACTAAGTATATAGAACATGGCACAGAGCATAAAGTTCAAAAAGATATTCTTTCCTTTCAGAGTAGGAAACCATTTTTGTAGGTGCCATAAGTCTTCTTTTAACATTGAGCATCAACAACAAGAAAGATTCCAGAGCAACTTCTGAAAGCCAGCACAATCCTTATAAGTACAAGAAAGAAAACTCAGATAAGAACATCCACACAAAAAAAGAACATCTGAATATGTTCCTCTTCAAAAATTCTAAATGGCAGGCATAACATTTAAAAATTACCTAACCAATCCAATCTCATGTGGTTTAAAATAAACTGAAAAGACCATAAAATTGAAATGCTTATGTAACTTTTCTCTTAAAGTTGTTTTAAGATTACAAGGAAACAAACTTTGAAATATTAATATTAAAGCACATTTAGGAGCCCTGTTACAGAAAATTCCTTTGAGAGACAATCACTCCAAACAACTTTCTGTAAACAAAACTTTAATATACTCCATTAACTCACAATTTATTTTTGTATGTCTCTTTTAGACACACCCTAGGGAAACACAAGTCACAAGAAAATAAGCTAATACTGACAATGTCTTTCACTTAACTGTGTTCTTTCTCTAGAGATCACCTTTTAGCACATCCTGGAATCTCCACAGAGGGTTTTCCGGGTCGAAGTCTCTGCCTTCCACTGGTTCAATGGCAGCAGAGGATGACATCCAGAGTTAACAGCCTTCATTGTCCCTACCAAAGACCTTGCTCCTCCTCCCACCCCACCTCCAATGCCAAAGGAAAGGGCCCTCTGTGATACAGGGGATTTGCAATTTCTATAAACATCAAAACAACAATGGATGTCAAGTCAATCTCTTGCACTAAGAATCCGATTAATCAGTCCTCTTAAATTCTTTACAATCAAGTGTTTAAAACAAAATCCACTACTAAAACACTTAAACCCCATGGGATTGTTATATTTTTTTTTAGCTAATTTAAGCAAATTAAAATGTTTTAAACATTTTAAAAAGGTATTTCAAAGAATCTCATTGTTCTCACTTGAAAATGTTAAATGACATTTTGTAATATCCCAGTTTCCACCATTTTCTTTACATTCTTTTTAGTGGGTTTTCTTGGGCTATTTTAAGTCACTGTTGGGTTCTTAACACAGATAACCACATATACAAACAAATTCCATACTCCCAGTTCTAATGAATCAAGTTTCAAAAATTAGATTTTACCAACAACACTCTTACACAGCAGATTTCTGCAAGTATCAGATTGTCTCAAAAATTCATTTTAAGCTCAGCTTCAAAAATAGAACGCCTACTTTTTCTGCATTGAAAAAAATTTAACATAGAAAACAGGTTTAGTAAATAAGATGTTAAGAAATTTATTTTTATGGAAATAGAATAAACAAAACTTTTTCGATTATTTCTTAAGTGCAGGATCCTATAATCCATTTGAATTCAAGACTGTGAATAAGTAGGGCTTTAAATACCACATGGCCCACCAGGAATGCCAGCCATGGGTGAAAGCAGACTGTTGAATGGTGAGGCTGGTAAGAGGTGCTGAGGTGTCTCACATCCTGCCTCATTTTGAGTTCCACTGACAGGAATATCCCTCTTGCCACCCCACCCCCCCACCTACGGTTTTAATTTTACTGTCCTGTCCAACAAAACTGGTGTGGTGGTTCAAAGAGAATGCCAACATCACTGCTCCACAATTAAGGGGCCCTGGGCACCAGACAACACCTCCTGTCTCGGTCCAGGAGGGATTAATGAAAATTATCAAAGTCAAATATATGTGTGTAAAGAACATTTAACAAACCCAATATCCTATTTACAGTTTTACTGCTTTTAGATAGCTGCCTTTATTAAAACAAAGGACATGGCCTCCAGAAAAATACCCTTGCACTCAGTCAGTAAGCTGTAGCATTTCTGCACGGAGAAACTGACGGTGTGAGGTACTCTCATGGCAAATGAGAGCAAGGAAGTGAATAGAACTCCTGGAAAGAAGTGTCTGTCATTAAGTTAGTTCTACTGAAGTCATTCTACTTTTTACAAGCATTTGATAAAAACCTTAAGGTGTGAATTCCATTATACAACAAGTCACAAAGCTATGGCTAGGTGACACTGAGCTTTTTATAGGGAAAGAACCAAGAGGGTAAGGGAAGACAGAAGTACAGAAAAAATTTTGGACGTATAATTTAAGGGATTATCAGTATGTGTGGGTGGGCAGATCACTGTTTCAAACAGAAATCATTACCATACCATCAGGCATTTTCCTTAAAAGTAGGCCTTCTTTGGGATGTTCACATAATTCCTTAGGGAAAATATTATGGAAAATCCAAGTACAAGATAGTTAAGACCTACAGCTTCTTTAATTTATTTAACTTCGACTACATTACTCAGAACACATGGGAGGAGTGGGGGGACACAGACTAATATTACATTTTTAATAAGTGGTTTACTATTTAAATACTTAAAAATGTTGCATACTTCAGGCTAACCAAAGACATGTATGCAAATATCCTTGGTTTATGCAATAAAAGTTTCACCCTTTGATGATGCATGGGACAGATAATCAGTCCCTGTATGTTTTCTCTCAGGTTTAGTGGAAAGTTGTTCTCCCACGTTTAGTGCATGCTATGCATGCTGCCATCTGATAGATCCTGCATAACTGCATTAATCTCACAAAATGGGCCTTATCTCATCAATCCCAGCTCCAAAGACCCCTTGGGACACATGTGTCCCAGTAATTTTATCAAAATCCTTTAAATGCCTTTCATTCCTGAAAATACATGGCCCCCCCAACCAAAAAAAGAAAAAACAGTGTCTTGAAAGGACTAATCTAGAAATAACCAATTATAAAATAGGAATCTTAGTTCCAACTTCAAAGATTTAAAAAAAAAAGTGAAGAAAACTGATATGGAGCAGGGGTATGAATATAGGTAGTGTAATGCTTAAGTCCAAGTTCTCAGCCCAAGTATTCTATTGCTCCTTCCTATCTGCTCCAGTGTAACTTATGTTAAGTTCTGAACTGGTTATATTCAAATGAATGTGGCTTTCCTGGCTCCCACCCAAGAGTTGTTAATACAAGATTTAACACATGCTTTGATTAGCCTAGTAATGCAATAAAAGCAACTCACTGAATATCCATGCACTCTACCTTGTAGAGAGAAGGTTACAATTGAGCATCTGGAATTACATGTGGTGGGTACTACACAGGTGATATAACTCATTCACTATGTGTGCTCGTGCCAATGAACATAGGAACCCTGGTGGAGCAATGGTTACGTTCTGAGCTGCTAAGTACAAAGTCAGCAAGTTAGGAAACCATCAGCATTCCAAGGGAGAAAAAGGAGGTTTCCTACTCCCATAGAAACCATACAGTCAGTTCTGATTTGCCCTGCATAGGTCACTAATAACTGGATGACACTGAGGTGAGGGATGCATGTATGTGCACCAAAAGGTCATGTCAATGAAGGCTCTAAGTGATAAGACTCTAATGATGCATTGTTTATATCAGCATTTCCGAAGATGGGGCATAATGTCCCCCGAGGAGCACTGGAGGGATGGGAGTGGCACTGAAAAGCAGATACCTCCATTTCACCCAGGATCATGGATTATAGTTTAAGTTTTTAATTGCAGGGGAGGGAGGGTGGGTGGTGTTGCTGATGTTGAGGGTTTTTTGTTTGTTTTTCCCCATGAAAAGGAGACCCTATGGTTTATATTGTCTCTAGCAAAAAAACAGAGTTTTCATTTTAAAGAAGGAAAAACAGCTTTTTTTTTTTTTTTTGCTTTTAATCCATCTCTGGGAAAATAAGTTTGGTTGAGAGAAAGCAATTTCAATAGTAAGTGGACCCCAAACTGAAGCTAATTTCTCTGCAATCCGTTCTTTGTGCTTCCAGGGAAGGGCATGAATAAAAGCTGAGAGCTGGCTTATTTAGTAAAGTTATAAGTACAGAGAGGTTCCAAATATTTGTCTTCCAGCTGCTCACTTTTGATAAAGAGAGGGCTATGGTATTCTATGACAAATAACTTGGTAACCAATTTCATTGTGCTAATGAGGACGTGCCTTCTCCAAGGTACTAGTTGTATGTATTCTTAGCCAGGCCACATTCACAATCAACACTTAGAATATGTGCTGGTAGGGACATAATTATACACAATACTCCCCTTCAACAATGCAGAGTTGTAACAATATACTTAGCTCAGCTAACAGTTAACTGAAACACCAAAATATCCCTAGTGACATATCCCAACTCTAAGAAAACTCAAGTTTTAACTTTACAATGTTCTCACTTTTAGTAAACCAAATAGCAAACAAATATTTACCCCAAAATAAAATCTGTAATAATCTTAAAATTTAACATGGAAACAGCTGAAGAACTT